CTAAATATGTGTTTGTGACCAATAAAATTTGATTTGATTAGAATAGACTGTATAGGACTATAGCATGTTCTGAGCAATAAGAAAGGCCACAATTTGTCCGTGCATGCGCAGGCTTGTGCAAGAGGGTGTGATGAATGTCTTGATTATTGTTCAACATTTTATAATCATATTCTCTGATCCCCAGGCTGGAACCAATATGGCTGAATATCTCCGCCAGGTGAACAAGAGACCCAAACCCTTCGTTCTGACTGTCGGAGACAATCGCCTCTACTCACTGGCATTCACCATCATGAATGGGCAGGCTCTGGAACAGGAGACATTATGTTTCATTGTTTTGAATAAATTGATGTTTGAAAATGGATACCTGGTTGGGTAAAAGGTTTACTTTTCTTCAGCCCCGTTCCTCAGCTTTAATTGGCTGCTGGGATTTTTTAAAAGATGGATTGTGCATCTACATTTTTTGTTTATTTGTGTGTTTCTTTTGCCTGATTTCATTTTGTAACTGAAATTAATATCTGAAAATAAACATTTTGTATTTTCTATACAATTTGGACATGATTGGCCATTTGTCATTTTAAGAATGTCATAGACTGTGTAGTAGCGTTATAACATTGATTGTTATTGTTAGAAGTATTTGTACCTTTAGAAAATTAACAGATTCTGTAAATAAGAGGTGGAGAAAAATTACAGAGCAAAAAAAGTTAAAAGCAACCCACTTTTGGGGTAAATCTAGTAACCCAACGTGTTAGGTCATTCACGTAACCCAACAGTGCGGGGTCAAAATAACCCAGCGCTGGGTATGTACTATAGTGACCCAGCGCTGGGTATGTACTATAGTGACCCAGCGCTGGGTATGTACTATAGTGACCCAGCTGGGTATGTACTATAGTGACCCAGCGCTGGGTATGTACTATAGTGACCCAGCGCTGGGTATGTACTATAGTGACCCAGCGCTGGGTATGTACTATAGTGACCCAGCTGGGTATGTACTATAGTGACCCAGCGCTGGGTATGTACTATAGTGACCCAGCGCTGGGTATGTACTATAGTGACCCAGCTGGGTATGTACTATAGTGACCCAGCGCTGGGTATGTACTATAGTGACCCAGCGCTGGGTATGTACTATAGTGACCCAGCGCTGGGTATGTACTATAGTGACCCAGCGCTGGGTATGTACTATAGTGACCCAGCGCTGGGTATGTACTATAGTGACCCAGCGCTGGGTATGTACTATAGTGACCCAGCGCTGGGTATGTACTATAGTGACCCAGCGCTGGGTATGTACTATAGTGACCCAGCTGGGTATGTACTATAGTGACCCAGCGCTGGGTATGTACTATAGTGACCCAGCGCTGGGTATGTACTATAGTGACCCAGCTGGGTATGTACTATAGTGACCCAGCTGGGTATGTACTATAGTGACCCAGCGCTGGGTATGTACTATAGTGACCCAGCGCTGGGTTACAGAAATGACACAAATTGGGTCATTATTGACTCATCTCTGTTTTGGTGTAGTTAACTATAGCTAACTAAGCATTAATGTTGTTCTTGCCTTTCCACTGGCCTAAATACATCTGCACTGTTGGAAAGCTGGGATTCCCCTCTATTAAACAATGGCTGTGTAATTGCAACAACTTTGAAAATATTTGACAAATAACTTGCTGTGCACAGATCTCCCCTGAAACGTGAATGTTTTAACCTTATATATAAAACACGTCTAGTTAGCAACCTCGCTTTGAAGTAGCCCACCTTATCCATTCGATCCCTGATTCATTGAATGAGGGAATCATTTTATAAACATCAGTTGACAACATGTGACTAACAGTGCAGTTCTTCTTTGTGGGGGGTTAAGTGCCTTGATCAAGGGCACAACGGCAGGAGATGGTAGGCCTACAGCCTTCCAGTGTCAATAATACTTACTTTTTCATGTAGGCTATAATAATAGTCATGGAAATGTGGTTAAAAGTCATGGAGAAGTCATGGAAAATGTGTATGAACCCTTAACAGTAAATAATCAGAGGTCTCTACAGCATAATGTCATTTATGAATTTCGGTGAACATAGTCTAATGGACCGACTTGGAAAGACAGCTCCTGCACTTTCATCCCAAGTCAAGCACTGAGAGCATTAGCCTATTTATTTCTGCAACAACACACTCATCACAACTTGTAAGCATGCTAGTTACAGTGCCTCCTAAATATATTATTGAAATCAGGAACGGAGGGTAGGCTATCAGCTGACCATTGATATTGATGATTGATGTAAATCTGCTAGTTGGCTAGCTCGATTTATTTTAGTGATTTACTTCCAGTGCTTAATTTGTAAATCGGGAGGTGCCGGAACAACAAGTGAGCGCTAGAGTGGAGTGACCTGGGGAGCTTTGAGGTACCGGAACGCATGAGAAAAGAAAAAGATCACCTTTATAATAAAGCGCTGCATGCATATCATCACATTTGCTAGTGGCATAGAGCAGTAGAATAGAGGCACTTAACGAAGATGCACACATGGAGAACATTTTTAGTGGCCTAGGGTCCGGGAAAAATCTGGACTTTTATAAATGCATTTCATGAAATTCTACTTCATTTTACATGATTGGAGACTTTCGCAGAATCTTTTTTAATACCGCACAAATGATCGAAATGGCAGGCTACTTTGACACGGACAAACAGAAAATCTGAGATCAATAAAAACGACCTTGTCTTGAATCCATCACTAGCCTAGGCCTAGGTGTGAGGAGACACATTGTAAGCTACAATATGAGGAGGAAATTATAGTCCTAAAAATGCTTTCCAGTTTCACTGATTCGCCCAATGATGCGCAACTCACTTGCTGGTGATGGCCGATGCGCTCATGCCAAAAGCCTATCTCTCTATTTCTCTTTTGTAAAATAATATTTGGAAATTGTTCAAATATTATGGTAGCCTACGGCATAGTCTTCTCTTTTCAGTAGGAGCAATTTGCTTTACAACCTGTGTTTTCCCTCGATTATATTTGAAATATTGCGAGAGGCCTGTTTTGTCTGATTGCTGCTTTTTCCACTGACATATGTGCCGCGTGTTCCCGACTGTAGGCTATTCCTTGTTATTGGGCTATATCCACAGCTAGGCTATTTTTTTTTTTTAAAGAAGCGATTGATCCTCTGTGGCTAAATGATACGCCTTCTCATGGTGTAGTAGGCTATTCTGAATGATTTCATTTCTTTCTGAACAGACAGCAGTAATTCTATAACTTTGGCAAATGTATTTCAATGTTTCAGGGGTGCTGCAGTTCCTTCAGAATCCATCGCGCGGCTGTGATTCTATAAGGAAATACATGATGAAGTGCAACGCTGGAGAGATGAGAGTTACAGGCTCGTGTCTATCAGAGCAGCGAGGGATCACAGAAAGCGAATCTCATTCTAGTTATGTAATAGATACTGGCGCGCTTCTCACACAGCCACCACCACGCGTTGGTCTCAAACATAGGTTACAATGTTGCGCAAACCATAAATCCGGTCCCGCCCAACCCAAAACGACTCTTAGAATATTAGGCCCGGGCTGAAAATCTACTTTTTCACATAACATTTTTTTGTGGGGGCAAGAGAATTGAACATTGATCTATTTTGTGAAAATAAAATAATTGTTCATGCCACGAAAGGTACCGGATCCGGCCAAATAGGTTCCGGAACAAAACAGTCAAAAACCGAGCCTGAACAGGATCCGGCTCAAATTAGCAGTTCAACCTCTCTGTCTTTCTGCCTTTCTCTGCTGCGCGTGTCAGCCAACCAGACCGAATATTGATGATGGTGTAGGCTAAATCAAGTGTTAATCAAATGTTATGCTTTTGTAGCAGCACTGTTGATATTTAAACTAGGTAACTAGTTACACACACTCGACCGGTGACCACATCTCTCAAGCCATGCATGTTTGGATACCGGGCGCGCGAAATCTTCATACAGGGCACGCGCAGACTTGGAAAACGCAACCGGGCGAGCGCAAATTCAGTACAGGGCAGATCAACAGGCGCAACCAACGGGGGTGGCGAACTTGACGACGACTTGCGGGCAGTGTGTTCCGAACATCAATGACAAAAAATCTATACAGAAATATATTTTCTGGGGAAATTAAACAACCACCCAACAGGGCACGTTGGAGACTGAAACGGCAAAGGGGCGTGTAGAGCACTATCTGTGCACGTGCCTGCACCCTGGTCTTTGGCTAACTGTTTTATTTGTCAATGTTTTTGGTCAGTTGTGAACTCGGTCAGTCGCCTTTACTAGTCTGTAGCACTTTAGAAAGTGACAGAGCCGTCAAGTGAAAGGAACTGAGATATTTGTGTACTCGTGCCAATACATTTTACTGTAATCCTATTTCAAACAAGCAAACCTAAACCTGAAATATTTAATGCACACGGCTTTTTTGTATTTATTTTTATATCTGCCTCGCGACTGTTTCCGTATAAATTGTCATAGAACCTGTGATTTGAAGTTACATTATGAATATGCTTTTTTTTTTAAACACAACAAAAAAATAGAAAATATATATAACATCTTATCATTTTTATTTTTATTAAAACAGTACTCTATATATTGCTGCATACATCTGTAAACAAACAGATACATTGTTTAATCATGTTCCTTTTGCTCTTTTACCAGACTAACTTTTGAACTGTAAACTGGTGACATCATGAGAAGGCACAACACTGGAAGCAGCAGGTAGCTGAGCTAAAGGGGACTTTTCTGACCAGCATCCCATTGACAGCCCGACTAGCCAAAATCTAAAACTGACCCATACCTTAACCCTGACCTTTACCTTTTCTGAAATTAAATATTCGTTTGCACGTCAGCCAAGTCCCTTAGTTCACGTGTCAAACTCATTCCACGGAGGGTCGAGTGTCTGCGGGTTTTCGCTCTTCCCCTGTACTTGATTGATGAATTGAGGTCACTGATTAGTAAGGAACTCCCCTCACCTGGTGGTCTAGGTCTTAATTGAAAGAAAAAAAGAAAAACCAGCAGACAAGGCCCTCCATGGAATGAGTTTGACACCACTGCTACTTAGTTCTATTTACTTTGACTGTCAATCAGACAGGAATACTGATTTGGTCACACAATTCCCCTGACAAGTGGTCAAGGTTCTATTAAAACAAATAATGTGTGAATTTAATTCAACGTTTATTTGTAGAGCATCATTTACATACTAAATTTAAGCAGAACATAGCCCTACGTAGGAAAACATGTTATGGAAGAGGAAAGTTAGAAACCCGAGGAAGAGAGAAGAGTAGCCTATCCCAGTAGACGTTGTTATATGAATCTCCGGTATCTTGTGACTTCAGACCTAAAGCTGGACACAAATCCTTTGTCCCAGTGAGGAGTTAGATATCATTACAATGCATAGTGTGAATGTTAGATACACATTCGATATACAGGTGGGTCAGTGCTTGTCAAGTTTGGTCGAATATTTACTATTGTATTTGTACACAGACTATTCATGTATAATTTTTGGACAGAAAACAGATCTCCCACCACTAGGTGTCAGACATGAACTGTGCAGTAGAAACGTTGAGTTTTAAAACAATATGAACAACTAAAGACCCTTTTGGACAAGTCATCCAACAAGTTATTTCCGCACTGACAATACATACATCGAAGTGAGTATGAAGAAATTGACATACATCCAGAAAATTTGATTTGTTATGTTTGGGTGATCAGAACATATTGAATACTTTTCTACTAAATAAGTTTTGACTGTACAATGGTCTGTAAGCCTACATTATATCCTACCTTGTACAAGAAGAAGAAACAGTTGGGGGGGAAAAACTAATGACTGTCACTGAGCATGGCTCTACTCTAGGTCAATTGTCTTGCTGGAGTTACTCACACACACAAGCTCTCACCATTGTCCCCACCCAGTCTTCTATCACACACAGTCACACAGCCACTCCAGTGTTTCCCTCAGTACTCGATCTCGTTGAAGTTTTCTGAGAAGCCGGAGTATGGAATAGTGTCTCCAGCATCTAGAAGAGAAATTGGAAATATTAACACGGATCCACAGGAGGTTGGTGGCACCTTAATTGGGGAGGACGGGCTCGTGGTAATGACTGGAGCGGAATCAGTGGAATGGTATCAAATACATCAAACACATGGTTTCCAGGTGTTTGATGCCATTCCATTTGCTCCGTTCCAGACATTATTATGAGCCGTTCTCCCCTCAGCAGCCTCCTGTCCATGCATCTGTGAAACAATCTCATGTTGGAAGGGAAAGGAATCGAGAACAGTGTCTATCATGGTTGGGGTCAATTCCACAAATTCTATTCTAATTAAATTCTCTCTCCCTGTAAATTCTATTCTAATTCAATTCAAATTCCAGGTCAGTCTTTGAATTCAGAGATAATTAAATTCCTCTTAATTCCAATGTTAGGTCAATTAGAATAATTCAATTCCCAATTCAATATTATCCCCAACAATTCCACAAATTCCAATTTGAATTCAATTCCTTCAGGCTTTCAGGCTGTTCAGACAACCTAGCTATCCTGGAAATATAGGAATACAGTTTGAAATGATTAAAAACCGATCCTACAGTACATTTTTTTTATACTATGTTCAGTAATTCCATTAACTGGGACATGTACAAACATTTTATTTAATTCAACGTAAATTCTCCACTTCATGAGTGAATTCAAAAAATTTAATTGGAATTTCAAATTAAATTGGAATTGACCCCAACCCTGGTGTTCTATTCCTATTTCTATCTATAGAGAACTGTATTTTCTATACCTGATAAGTCTATGTATAGAGAACTGTATTTTCTATACCTGATAAGTCTATGTATAGAGAACTGTATTTTCTATACCTGATAAGTCTATGTATAGAGAACTGTATTTTCTATACCTGATAAGTCTATGTATAGAGAACTGTATTTTCTATACCTGATAAGTCTATGTATAGAGAACTGTATTTTCTATACCTGATAAGTCTATGTATAGAGAACTGTATTTTCTATACCTGATAAGTCTATGTATAGAGAACTGTATTTTCTATACCTGATAAGTCTATGTATAGAGTAGAGAACTGTATTTTCTATACCTGATAAGTCTATGTATAGAGAACTGTATTTTCTATACCTGATAAGTCTATGTATAGAGAACAGTATTTTCTATACCTGATAAGTCTATGTATAGAGAACAGTATTTTCTATACCTGATAAGTCTATGTATAGAGAACTGTATTTTCTATACCTGATATATGTATAGAGAACTGTATTTTCTATACCTGATAAGTCTATGTATAGAGAACTGTATTTTCTATACCTGATAAGTCTATCTATAGAGAACTGTATTTTCTATACCTGATAAGTCTATGTATAGAGAACTGTATTTTCTATACCTGATAAGTCTATGTATAGAGAACTGTATTGTCTATACCTGATAAGTCTATGTATAGAGAACTGTATTTTCTATACCTGATAAGTCTATGTATAGAGAACTGTATTTTCTATACCTGATAAGTCTATCTATAGAGAACTGTATTTTCTATACCTGATAATCTATCTATAGAGAACTGTATTTTCTATACCTGATAAGTCTATCTATAGAGAACTGTATTTTCTATACCTGATAAGTCTATGTATAGAGAACTGTATTTTCTATACCTGATAAGTCTATGTATAGAGAACTGTATTTTCTATACCTGATAAGTCTATGTATAGAGAACTGTATTTTCTATACCTGATAAGTCTATGTATAGAGAACTGTATTTTCTATACCTGATAAGTCTATCTATAGAGAACTGTATTTTCTATACCTGATAAGTCTATCTATAGAGAACTGTATTTTCTATACCTGATAAGTCTATCTATAGAGAGCTATGTATTCTATACATCCTATTTTTAGAGAACCGTCTCTATTCTGACTGAGGACCTGTGGTAGGATGCTGTACTTCAGTGTGTGAATGAGGTTAGTATACTGAGCTACTGAACTGTGATTAGACAGGATGCCATCTAGCAGGTAGTGTCCTGTACAGACTGCACCAGCCCCTGTCTACACCGCGTTAAGCTGTTCTATCGCAATACAAAAATAGCTCAGTTATTACAGTATCAGAGTACAACTTTGCCGTTGATTTAGCGTGCCAGTATTATGTCATACTGAACTGGTTGAAGTTTTTCCCAGATAGAGTATAAATGTGTTAACTGTGGAATGTGTGGAATGTGTGTTCTCAAGTCCAACTATACAATCTCAAGTCCTGAAAATCATTTTTCTTCTTTCTTTATTACCTTTCTTTACCCAGGCGAGTCAATTAAGAACAAATTCTTATTTACAATGACGGCCAGTGAACCTACCTGCTGTGCATGGTCCTTTTTTAAACACAATGTCATCAATAGCGATATCACTTCTTATCGATGGTCCTCGGATCGCTTCAAATATAATCTGTAACGAAAGTCAAAGAAAATCATCATCCCAAACCACGTTTCAATCCACATTAAAGTAAAGTAAAGTCATACCGTATAAAAAAAAACTTTACGTCAGCTGTGATGAAAACAGGGAATTTCGGTACAGTTTGATAAATGCAAACAGATAATTTGTTTGGTCGACATGGTGGGATCTTTTTGTAAAATTAATTATGCGAGAAATGGCGATAGAAATGCCTTTATGCGCAAATATTGATTTATATAATAACTATTATATCGAAGAAAACTTATCCTCAACAAGTCCGTTTGGTGGGAACACACCACTGGTGGGAAAATGTGCATATTTTCTTTATGCGGATTTTAGAATATATACATGAAAATCTGTCGCCAATTGGATGAAAACCTAGCTACAGTTCTCAAAATAGCATTAATATCAATGGATATGGAATAAAACAGAATATTTATTCCGATGGAGTCTGATGAAACAAATGATTCCCCGTTTTCTTTTTCTTCTGAAGTGAGTGTGCACTCTATCTATTCTGTCTGTCTGTCTGTCTGTCTGTCTGTCTGTCTGTCTGTCTGTCTGTCTGTCTGTCTGTCTGTCTGTCTGTCTGTCTGTCTGTCTGTCTGTCTGTCTGTCTGTCTGTCTGTCTGTCTGTCTGTGTGTCTGTCTCTCTGTCTCTCTGTCACTGTGTGTGTGTGTGTCTCTACCTGGTGTCTGCGGTCACACTCGTAGTCCACCGTTGCCCTCATCCAGGAGATGCTCTGCTCGCCGCGACGTCTCCATAGCAACGCATCCCGCTCGCTATCGCTGCGGTGCAGGAGTACGCTCAGCAGGCCGGTGCCAGAGCCGTACATGTGGTAGTAGAAGACCAGACACTGTGGCCCTGCAGAGCCCCTCAGGTCAGAGGACAGCAGACGGGCTGTGTGACCAGGACGCATCAGAGAGGCCTCGACGTACATGAAGTACCCTGAAGAGAGATATGAGATATGACAGGTTACTGGGTGGAATGTAAACACTCAGGAGGAGGTGGTGTTTATCGTCAGCGTTACGTGTGTGTGTATAACTGATTCTGGGTGTATGTATGAATGACGGGATGAATGAACTGGTGACTCACCCACCCCTGTAGTGTGGTCCCCTCGGGGCCCGGTGTAGGAGGTGGGGGTCTGCCCTCGCACCCGGAGCCAATCCCCTTTGTCCGAGTCCTTCTCCTGACTGTAGCCACAGTCCCCTGTCTCAAAGTTACACTGGCCAGGCAGGGGTCTCAACGGCCCTGGAACACACACATATACACGTACGAGGACGCACACACACACACACACACACACACACACACACACACACACACACACACACACACACACACACACACACACACACACACACACACACACACACACACATAAACACACAGCTGTTTTAAGGACTCTGACAGCAAAGCTTGATTAAATGTAGAAATATGGTAATAACTGTATATGGTCTACATCAAACGGGTTCTCACTCACTGGGGGTTGGCAGTTGACAGTGTTGTTTGAATGATCACTCAAGTTATTTCATAATGAGATAAGGAATAACTGTGATGCCTGCTTTCCCACTGGGCAAAAACTGGTTACATCAACGTTGTTTCCATGTAATTTCAACAAAAACATTCTATCTGATGACATTGAATCAACGTAAAGGAATGTAGTCTTTTTTTCACCCAACTTTTAACCTAAATCCAATGACATGGTAAAAAAATAAGAAATTCACGTTGAATTCACGTGAATTGACATCTCAACCAAATGTAAATCAAAACTAGATGTTGAAATGACATCTGAGTGGGTTGGCTCCATTTCCCCATTGCTCTTAACCACCAGGGTTAATGGCTGAATCATCTGCATCAGCAGCAGTTATGTAAGCCATTAGCAACACAATCACAGCCCTGATGAATGGCGGTGTACTTTGGGACTAAAATAGTCTAAATCCACTGCCGCTTTGAAGATAACTGTTGTCTTAATAGTTGACTAATCTTTTGCCATTTTTTTTTAAATTTAAGACTGAGAACATTATAACAAAACCTTACAAGTGCTTAGAAATTATTTCTGTGATGCATATGTGAAATAAATTATTATTACAATCAAAGCCAACTCATTTAGTCTCTGAAAAGTTGCAGTAATATTATCATATCATGGTCCTAGAAGAACCACCCATCTAAACCGTTCCAAAGGCCTCATTTATGGTTTTCACTACAGCGGCCTGAGTACACAGCCCTATTGGCCTAGAGAAACTGCTGTCAAAGCAAAGAGGCCGTCACTGCCCGTGTAATTACCAGGTAACATCATAGACGGCGAGACCAGATGTTTTCCCACAATGGCTGATCATCTAAGGCTGCATTTACAATTATGGGCAAAGGATCTGATCTGATTGGTCAAAAGACCAATTAGTGGCAAAAGATCTGAATTGTGCTGCCTGTGTAAACGCAGCCTAAGAGCTTTATAAATAGCGACAGTTTAACTGAAGGACCCAGCCCAGTCTCTCAGCAGCTGGCTAAAGAAGACCAGTAGGAAAACCACAGCCGGGGCCGGGGCCTGAGTAGGAGAAAAAGAGGAGAGTTGTGGTTGATTTGATTCCAGCTTGATATTTTCTCAAGCTACTATCTACTCTGGCTTGAGCAAAGTGGCTTGCCATTCACAAGATCTATCGATGAATATGGCATTGTAAGGGCCAGGATAACCCTGCTTGCGAGGTAGCCCTGCCTGCAACTTTTAAAATCAGTGTCAGCCCTTGGCCCAAGAGGGACTTTCCTCTTGTTCTAATGGTTAAGATGTTGGTTTCTCCAGTGGGGGACCCGGGATCACATCCAGTCTGTGACACTTCTCCAGATCAGGTCAGGTAGTGAGGGACTCCTGGCTAAACTACAACAATCGAGTCCTGGACTGCTACCAGAGTAGCAGCATACCACTGTTTTAGTATCACACTCCTAGAACAAAGCTTTGATATGTAACTTAGCCAAACTAGCTAGCTGTCTGAGCCAGCGGTGCTAACATATAAATAGTAAAGTGTTTTAATAAACACTTCACTTTGGATGAAAACTAAAGAGCTATGGGCTTGGCAACAAGGCTATTGAAAAATATCAACTTAACTTATAGACTGTTTATTTCCACACAAAAAAAAAATCAAGAACGGAGAAGATACAGTGCTGTAAATCACCTGTCCCCATACAGTGGGTGCCCCTCTGTTTCAGTTCTGATTATAAGTATTGATGTCAATGGGAGAAATAGTTAATAGTGGCATGTGCAGTGCATATCACAAGGCAGGATTCGGTCCCATTTGCAGTATGGCAAGGTCAAAGACCTGAGGTATACATGCCCAGGCCTGTCCTGCTGTCTTACCTGCTGTGATTCGACAGTCCCCAATGGTCACTGTGATGTCATCAAGAGCCACTTGGCCACAGTCCCAGAAGTTTTTACAGATGCTGACGAACACTACCTGGGAGAAAGACAGACAAGTCTTAACACAGATATTACCAGGCTATCGCAGAGCAAAAACTCAACTATTACCAATCCCTCCCTCCCTCCCTTCCGTGCATGCATGCGTTGTTACCTTGGTAGCCATGGGCTTCATATAGGTGACGTCCACCCCTGTCCAGACATCTCTGGTGGTATCAGCCAGGCTCCAGACCTTCTCCTGAGCCACGTTGTTCTGGTCGTAGATGTAGAGAACCAGCGCGTTGTCCACCTTCCTGAAGCCGTGAAGGGCGTAGTGGAAACGCAAACAGTACTTATGGTTGCCGGGTAGGAGAGGACCGTGGAGACGACCCACATAACCCGGCCGCGACGTGAATCGTGTGTTCGCCAGGAGGAACGAGCCTGGAGGGTAGATGTAGGATTTGATATGTTATGTCGGTCTATGCAGGACATCACTTTTACCCCTACCTACATGAACATATTACCTCACCTACCTCAACTACCTCATACCCCTACACATTGACTTGGTACCGCTACTCCTTGTATATTGCCTCGTTATTGTTATTTTATTGTGTTACTATTTCCTTTTTTTATTTGCTAATTGTCTTGATTTCCAACTGACTCTAAATACCTGTTATTTAGTCACAATCATTTTCACTTAGTTATGCATTGATGTCAATGGGAGACATAAGTTCAAATTCGGCTTCAGCGGAAGCTAGGATTCACCCTATGAGATGACAACAAGACGCAAAGGGTTCATAAATGCTCATGACAAGTCTTCCAGGCTTTATGGGCCGCGTCCCAAATGGCAACCTATTTAATATAATGCGCAACCTTTGACCAAGGCCCTATGGACCCTGGTCAAAAGCAGTCTACTATATAGGGAATAGGGTGCGATTTGGGACGCGGCCATAGAGTTGTGTAACTCACCAGTCCCTGTGGTGTGGTCTCCTATTCTGTACGCGTTTGGTTTCACTGATACTCTGTTCCACACCTTGCCCTCCACTCTTTCCTGGTAGTACTGACACAGACCCTCCTCAAAGTCACAGTTGGCTATGGACGGGTCAACCACAGGTTCTGAAACAAAGCAAGCAGCGATCACACTGTAGTCATTCTATGGGGGGGGGGGGGGGGGGGTAGAAGTGAACAATGGTACTCTAATTTCCATGGGTTAGAAGTAGTCCAAATGGGCCTGTACCAGAACAAGGCCAAGAACCGGCCAGCTACGGTCATTTTAGAAAATGCTACTACACTTTAGGGAAACAAGGAAGTGGACCTAATGGAAACGTTTAATTGTCAAAGTTTCTACTGCAAGGTCTTTTTCAGGACATAGCAGGATACTTATACATGTCTTGAATGTTTACAGTAAAAAATAAAAAGTATCCATGCATTAGAAACAAGCTGTAGATTGTGTATGTACTGAGGCAGTCATGACATCAGAGCTGTGTTTAAATACATGATGTACCATGCTGTATCCTGAGCCCAGGGCTCAGGAATGGAACACGCGTTGCTGAGGGTGAGAGAACGCTGGCCAGAGAGAGGTTCTCTTTGGAATTTAGACTGAGGGACAGAGAGAAGGAGAGCAAGAAAGATCCAGAAAGAGGAGAAGAGAGAGGAGACAGAGAGAGAGAGAGGGAGAGACAACAGGAGGAGCGAGAGAGAGAGACTAGTCCAACTTCAGAGGATAGTGGTATCAAACGAAGGATTCTGCTGTCTGATGATGATTATTTGTCAACTTTATAATGTTCCAATCGTAGTCTAATCAATTCCAATACTTTTCTTCAAAGTGCACACACCCTTCTCTCCCACCTCTCTTGCTGAATCATACAATATGTTGTCTGGAACACTTGAGGGTAATGAGAACAGGTTGGATGGTAGAGTAGGGACTATGTGGTACTCTAGGACTCTGTGGTAGTGGTGTAATGTAGCTAGTAGCTACTGTTGTTGAAACACACTGGGCCGGTTTCCCGGACACAGATTAAGCCTATAGTCCTAGACAAAAAAACACGCTCAATGGATTCTCTAGGATTCTCCGCCCCACTGTGTTGATCATAGTAATACTGTACCCTCTCACCTGTCTCTGTGTGGCAGAACTCTGGAGAGAAGGAGATGTCATCAATGGCCACGTATCCTCCACGGGCACTGTTAAAGGCTACCTCATACACCACCTGGAAAACACACAGCACTGTTAAAGGCTACCTCATACAGCACCTGGAAAACACACAGCACTGTTAAAGGGTACCTCATACAGCACCTGGAAAACACACAGCACTGTTAAAGGCTACCTCATACAGCACCTGAAAAACACACAGCACTGTTAAAGGCTACCTCATACAGCACCTGAAAAACACACAGCACTGTTAAAGGCTACCTCATACAGCACCTGGAAAACACACAGCACTGTTAAAGGCTACCTCATACAGCACCTGAAAAACACACAGCACTGTTAAAGGCTACCTCATACACCACCTGGAAAACACACAGCACTGTTAAAGGCTACCTCATACACCACCTGGAAAACACAGACCAAACCAAGATATAACCAAGATATAACCAATATATAATCAGGAGATAACCATACTGTGTAAGCTCAATAGTTAGCTCAACAGTTAGCCTAACAGTTAGCGCAACAGTTAGCGCAACAGTTAGCGCACCAGTTAGCGCATCAGTTAGCTCATCAACAGTTAGCTCATCTACAGTTAGCCAGATGCCACACTAAAACGACCAGGCTTGTCCAACAGAACTTCATTTAAAACATGCCTCTCAGGTCAACAGAGCTTTTATCAATGCTAAATGTAAGTCCTATTTAAAACCTTCAATGAGTTGACTGTAATGGTAAAGACATGAACCCAGACTCTGTAGCGTGTTACATAACAGAACAGAGCGGCTCTCTTTGTAACAGTAGCACGTTGACTGGGTTGTGTAGAGCTGTAAAGGAAATGGTTGGGGCCTCACAAAGATCGTAAAACAATGACATTTCGCCAGTCCCCACCCGGAAAACTGTTATTTTAGGCTAAGGGTTAGGTTTAGGGTTAGGTTTACAATTAGAGGTTAGGGGTTAGGGGTTAGGGTTAGAACTAGGGTTAAAGAAAATAGGATTTTGAATGGAAATCAACTTTAGGTCCCCACAAGGATAGTAAAACATGTGTGTGTGTGTGTGTGTGTACGTGTGAGTGTGTGTTAAAACACTCTTCTGTCTGAGAGGAACTCTAACCGAGGCGCTCGTTACCTCAGATTTATTTATCCTGGAACTGAATAGTCAAACACACATCAGTAGAGAAAACTAAAATCACTAGGGAAGCCAGAATAAAAAGCCATATTACAACCTATGTGTTGTGATAATTGTGTTGTTTGCTCTATAAGCTGTTAATTCATATGCCTTGCGATCCTGATATATAGGCCTGAGGCCTTCCCGGCAGGTAGCTTAGTGGGTAAGAGCGTTGTGCCAGTAACCGAAAGGTCGCTGGTTCTAATCCCCGAGCCGACTAGGTGATAAATCTGTCGATGTGCCCTTAAGCAAGGCACTTAACCCTAATTGCTCATGTAAGTCGCTCTGGATAAGAGCGTCTGCTAAATAATGTTTTTTTTTATTTTTATTTTACAATAAGAAGACACAGTGGCAGAATAAATTCAACCACACCTTTGTTTCATCACAAAACCGGAGAGCAACAAAGTATATTGCATGTAACAAACAGTTACATGACCTTCAGCATGGTCAGGGAAGTTAATGTTTCCGATATTTTCGAACCGCTAAACAATTATTGATTTAGAACCACAGTTACCGCAAGTCGCAAAGTACACAGGAGCTGCCTCCACTATTCCAGCACCATTTCAACATCGTCAAATCACCTACAGTATGCTTAGTCTAATACAGTGACAACTAAAAGATACCACAAACTATTTAGTCCAATCAATGTAAGCAAAATATGATGTGGCTGTCTATGGTTCTGATTTCTGTGTGTGTGTGTGTGCGCGTTCGTGCATGTAGAAAAAACATGTTGACTCACCCTACTTGTAGAGAAACACCAATGCAATCCTCCTCTCTTTGATGTTGACGAAACGGTCTATCACTCTGTCATACAGTACACGCTTTTATTTTTTGTTGTCCTAGGCTAACTGGCTAAATTGCTTGCTCGCTAGCCTAACTTCCTTTGATGGGCAACGTTAGCTAGTTAACATCTACATCTGGCTACATATTGAACTTCCATCCTCTCAGGCCAGGGGCACAATGTATGAATTAATGGTTGGATCAGAATTGCCGTTATAGTCATTGTCCAGTACGTAGAATTAAGTAAAACCACGATTCCAAAACCCAATCTTCCTCCATGGCTAATTTAGGAAAGGGCAATTTTAGCTAGCTAGCTAGCCACCAGAGGACAACAACACAACGAGATGCAACAATTCAAGTTGTTTCTGTCAATGACGTATGCTCTTGATGCGATTTGATGGGAATGACGCCAAATCCAAACTGGCTTCCTTTAACACTTTTTTTTGGTGTGCCAGGACCATTCACAGTTGAGCTCACTCACTTTAGCTCAACACTGATTGGCTATTATTATTATTAATTTTTTATCAAGGGTGGCCAAATGCTTGCTGGCTTCTCTTACATTCAATGCTACGGAAGGCAACAGTGTCATACTCTTTTTGACCAGACAGCATCAGATAGATGGCCTACACATACAGAGACAGAGGGGCGCTGTTTCGCTCGCTCTGATGCTTTCTCCGGTGAGAAACTGTCCCTTCAGCATCTTGTGAATTGAAGGAAAATTATGAAACACAGAGATGGAAGATACATTATTTTATTTATTGTTTTCTTGGTCAATTTTTTTGGGATGCCTGGCTTCTCTTGATATCCATGAATACACGCCACTGTACATACTGCCCAGTTCTACATGTTTAGGTTAAAGGGCAGTGCAGTTAAAAATGTGATTTTCCTGTTTGTTTGATGATATTTCCACACTATGAGGGTCAAAATAACACTCTGAAATTGTGAAAATTATGATAATGCCCTTTATGTGTAAGAGCTGTTTGAAAAAGAATGCCTGGAATTTCAGCCTGTTCAAGTGGGATGGAATATTTGGCCCAGATCATGACATCACAATCTGATCTGATTATTCTGACCAATGACCAGTCATCTTTTATTTGCATATGTATCCTCCTACTTTGAAGGGGTAAGCAGGGTAGGCTCTCTAGAGTCTAGACGATCCTATCCGCAGTGGTGTAAAATACTTAAGTAAAAATACTTTAAAGTAATACTTCAGTTGTTTTTTGGGGTATCTGTACTTTACTATTGATATAATTTTTACTTTTACTCCACTACATTCCTGAAGAAAATAATGTACTTTTTACTCCATACATTTTCCCTGACACCCAAAAGTACTTGTTTCATTTTGAATGCTTGGCAGGACTGGAAAATGGTCAAATTCACGCACTTCTCAAGAGAACATAAAACCCTACTGCCTCTGATCTGGCGGACTCACTAAACACATATGCTTTGTTTGTAAATTATGTCTGAGTGTTGGTGTGTGCCCCTGGCTTTCCATCCATTTTTTTTTAAAGAAAGAAAATTGTGCCGTCTGGTTTGCATAATGTAAGGAATTATAAATAATTTCTACTTTTACTTTTACTTTTGATACTTAAGTATATTTTAGCAATTACATTTACTTTTGATACTTAAGTATATTTAAAACCAAATACTTTTAGACTTTTACTCAAGTAGTTTTTCACTTTTACTTGAGTCATTTTCTATTACGGTATCTTTACTTTTACTCAAGTATGACAACTGGATACTTTTTCCACCACTGACTATCTGCCAATCAGGGCTGTGTATGTAAATATATTTACATTTGTATCGACATGCCCACACGATCAGATGGAGCATTTCAATGGCAAAAGGAGGCTGAGGGCAATAAATTATAACAAATATATTTGGAGTTATTTTCATGAAATAAACACACACAGTGATTTATTAGATATACAGTGATTATTTAAAAATAAAAAGACTGCCAGGGGGCTTTAACATGGTAGACAGAAAACAAACACCGTGCTCCTTCTTCAGTTCCCAATGGAAATCAATATTATGCAAAAAATATTCAACCTAAATTCTATGAAAAATTGACATATACTTCACATCAAAATCTGACAGGAAGTCACCAGTCTGCTATAAGATACATTATAACACTACAGCAGCAGCAGAGAACGAGACCAAACATTTCCTTTCCTTTCTATTCTCTTCCAACAACAGATTAATAGGAGGAGAAGGGGGCGGAGGAAGAGAGGAGGAGGAGAGGAGGAGAAGAGGAGAAGGATGAGGACTGGGAGGAGGAGGAGGAGGAGGAGGAGGAGGAGGAGGAGGAGGAGGGGAAGAGTCATCCAAACTCTTCCCTGAATCTTCTTCATGGTGTTCTACCCTTGAAGGAACTCACTCAGTCTCTGGCGCTATGGCAACAGTAATTAATAACACCCTTCTCCTGTCTGGCTATTTATATCTGTCCAGGGAATCCACAGGGAAGAATACTGCACAGACCAAAGATTTCAAAACAAATCCAATCAAATTGGTCACATACCAGTGTTTAGCAGATGTTATTGCGGATGTAGCGAAATCTTTGGAGACCAAAGATATCTATGGGTGTGTGTGTGTGTGTGTGCCTGCCTGCTTGCGTGCGTCTTTCTGTCTTTCTGTCTGTCTGTCTGTCTGTCTGTCTGTCTGTCTGTCTGTCTGTCTGTCTGTCTGTCTGTCTGTCTGTCTGTCTGTCTGTCTGTCTGTCTGTCTGTCTGTCTGTCTGTCTGTCTGTCTGTCCTTGCCCTCTGACCCCTGAACTATAAGGTGTGTAGGGCCAGTACTGACCTCCAGCCTTGATGACCACAGTGACTAGCCTCCAGGCGTGTGTTTGTTTGTCTAGCACGTGTGGTGCACTACCAGTACTGACCTCCAGGGGGTGTGGGGCCTTGATGTCCACGTTGACCAGCCTCCAGGAAGGTGTAGCGTAGACGTCAGGCCTCCAGATCTCCTCATAGTGTCCCAGCGTGTCTCTAGTGAACACTGAGAAGATGTTCCCTCTCTCCTGGTCCCGCTGGTAGTAGAACGAGAAGCAGCCTGACAGCGGTGTGGTCGTCATGGGAGACGTCAGCTTGGCCACTTCCTGGAACCGCTTAGCATAGACTGAGTCCACATACATGTAGTGGCCTGGAGAGAGATGAGGTGTAGAAACATGACAGCAACATTGGTTTATCGTGTCGTATAGAACAAAAAACCTAGTACACATACCCCAATGAACAGAACACACACTCAGGTCAGGCCCCTGGTGTGATCTTTGTGTGTGTGTGTACCTCTCTGGTTGCTGGTGTGTGTGTGTGTGTGTGTACCTCTCTGGTTGCTCATGGTGTGTGTGTGTGCGTGTGTGAACCTCTCTGGTTGTACATGGTGTGTGTGTGTACCTCTCTGGTTGTACATGGTGTGGTCATCAGGCAGGTTGGACTGTGGGTCTCTGGCCAGACTCCCTCCAACGTACCAGTTGACATTAGGGTTCCAGTGGTTACTGTAGCCGCACAGGTGGTGCTCCTCAAAGTTACACTCTGATAACAACAACAACAACAACAACAACAACAGTTATATCTCTTGGTATAAAAGTAATGAAATCTGCATATGTACCTTGTATAAGGCATATTTATGGCTTCAATATCATCAGTAGAAACAGCTCATGTCCCTCTATGTGTTTTCTAAACATATACAGTAATCAACCACATGTTGTGAGGCTTAACAGTTGTCTTAACATTCTCCTACCCTGAGAACTGACCTATGCAGTAGCCAGGCACGATGTGGATTTCAAAGATCGCCACACTGTTGCCTGCTTCCTCACTGGGTCGACCCTCCAGCAAAAGCTAGGACGGACGGACGGACGGACGGACGGACAGACAGACAGACAGACAGACAGACAGACAGACAGACAGCCACAGACGACGACAGACAGACAGACAGACATGACGACAGACAGACAGACAGACGACAGACAGACAGACAGACAGACAGACAGACAGACAGACAGACAGAACAGACAGACCGACAGACAGAACAGACAGACAGACAGACAGACAGACAGACAGACAGACAGGACAAGAGAGAGAGAGGAGGTAGAGAGAGAGAGAGAGAAGAGAGAGAGAGAGGGAGAGAGAAGAAGAGAGAGAGAGAGAGAGGAGAGAGAGAGAATGAAAACAAAGGGGCCATTATATCAGATAAGATAATGTTATGAAGTTTAGTTTTCAGTAAAAAGTCTCTGTCTCCACTCTAAAAGCAATAAAACCCTAACAGATGACATCCCCTCCAACACATCCCCCTATGGCAGTGTTTCCCACACTCTAATAATCAAAGCTTAAATGATGAATCAGCTGTGTAGTGCACCGCTTGGGATCCAAAAACGTGCACCCCTTGGGGTCCCCTAGATCCGAGGTTGGGAAACACTGCTGTATGGGTTGGGCCTAAAGCTGAGCACCTATCAATCTATCACCTCCCATCACTAAATGAGAGGTGAAATCTGTCCTGTGATACAGCTGCTGCAGAGTATCTTGAGCACCATTAGGCCTCCTGGCCCGTACAGTAGTCTGTCTAACCTGTCTAATCCTGCATGATGATGGAAGACATGAAGACTAGACAGCGGCCATATTGTGGTGATATAAGGTATATACACGCTGTCCACCTTAAAACGTTCCTGTCACATACATTAAGGTTATAATAGAGACTATTCCATTAGGGCGGTTTACATTAAGGTTATAATAGAGACTATTCCATTAGGGGGGTTTACATTAAGGCTATAATATAGACTATTCCATTAGGGGGGTTTACATTAAGGCTATATAATATAGGACTATTCCCATTAGGGGGGTTTACATTAGGTTATAATAGAGACTACTATTCCATTAGGGGGTTATGGTTAAGGTTATAATAGAGAACTATTCCATTAGGGGGGGTTTAATGTAAGGCTATAATAGGGACTATATTCCATTAGGAGGGGTTTAAATTAGGTTATAATAGATACTATCCATTAGGGGGGTTTACATTTAAGGCTATAATAGAGACTATTCCATTAGGGGGGTTTATTTTAAATGTTATAATAGAGACTATTCCATTAGGGGGGGTACATTAAGGTTTATAATAGGACTATTCCATTAGGGGGGTTTACATTAGGCTATAATATAGCCTATTCCATTAGGGGGTTTTATGTTAAGGTTATAATAGAGACTATTCCAGTAGGGGGGGTTTACATTAATGCTATAATGAGACCTATTTATTTAGGGGGTTTATGGTTAAGGCTATAATAGAGACTATTTATTTAGGGGGGTTTATTTAAGGTATAATAGAGATATTCCATTAGGGGGGTGTTTAGTTTAAGGTTCCATTAATTAGAGGTATATGGACTATTCCATTAGGGGGGTTTACATTAGGTTATAATAGAGATATTCCATTAGGGGGGGGGGGGGGGGTTATGTTAAGGTTTAATAATAGAGAATTTCATTAGGGGGGTTTACATTAAGGCTATAATAGAGACTATTCCATTGGGGGGGGGGGGGGGGGGTAGTTATTAAGGTTATAATAGAGACTATTCCATTAGGGGGGTTTACATTAAGGCTATAATAGAGACTATTCCATTAGGGGGGTTTACATTAAGGCTATAATAGAGACTATTCCATTAGGGGGGTTTACATTAAGGCTATAATAGAGACTATTCCATTAGGGGGGGGGGTAAGGCGGAGGGGGGGTTTAGTTAAGGTTATAATAGAGACTATTCCATTAGGGGGGGGGGGGGGGGGGGTGGGTTTAAGTTAAGGTTATAATATGAGACGATTCCATTAGGGGGGGTTTACATTAAGGTTATAATAGAGACTATTCCATTAGGGGGGTTTACTTAAGGCTATAATAGAGACTATTCCATTAGGGGGGGTTTTACATTAAGGCTATAATAGAGACTATTCCATTAGGGGGGTTTACATTAAGGCTATATATAGACTATTCCATTAGGGGGGTTTACATTAAGGCTATAATAGAGACTATTCCATTAGGGGGGTTTACATTAAGGTTATAATAGAGACTATTCCATTAGGGGGGTTTACATTAAGGCTATAATAGAGACTATTCCATTAGGGGGGTTTACATTAAGGTTTTAATAAGAGGACTATTCCCATTAGGGGGGTTTACATAGGCTATAATAGAGACTATTCCATTAGGGGGGGTTTACATTAAGGCTATATAGATACTATTCCATTAGGGGGGTTTACATTAAGGCTATAATAGAACTATTCAATTAGGGGGGGGTTTACATTAAGGCTATAATAGAGACTATTCCATTGGGGGGGGTGGTGGGGTTTAAGGTCTATAATATAGGACTATTCCATTAGGGGGGTTTACATTAAGGCTTATAATAGAGACTATTCCATTAGGGGGGTTGTACATTAAGGTTATAATAGAGGACTATTCCATTAGGGGGGTTTACATTAAGGCTTATAATAGAGACTATTCCATTAGGAGGGGTTTACGTTAAGGCTATAATAGAGACTATTCCATTAGGGGGGTTTACATTAAGGTTATAATAGAGACTATTCCATTAGGGGGGTTTACATTAAGGCTATAATAGAGACTATTCCATTAGGGGGGGTTTACGTTAAGGCTATAATAGAGACTATTCCATTAGGGGGGTTTACATTAAGGTTATAATAGAGACTATTCCATTAGGGGGGGTTTACGTTAAGGCTATAATAGAGACTATTCCATTAGGGGGGGTTTACATTAAGGTTATAATAGAGACTATTCCATTAGGGGGGTTTACTTAAGGCTATAATAGAGACTATTCCATTAGGGGGGTTTACATTAAGGTTATAATAGAGACTATTCCATTAGGGGGGGTTTACGTTAAGGCTATAATAGAGACTATTCCATTAGGGGGGTTTATGTTAAGGTTATAATAGAGACTATTCCATTAGGGGGGTTTATGTTAAGGTTATAATAGAGAACATATTCATTTAGGGGGGCTTACTTAAGGCTTATGAGATCCTATGGTCTTAGGTAATGGGGAGAGGTATGTGCGTCCCAAATGAGACAATATAGGACTATTCACATTGAGGGTTTATAAGGCCTGATAATAGAGAGCATTCATTAGGGGGGTTTATTAAGGTAATGGAGGACATTCCATAGGGGGGTTTAATAAGGTTATTATTTTATTATTATAGAGACTACTCATTAGGGGGTTCATTCAAGGCTATAATAGAGACTATTCCATAGGGGTTTACATTAAGGTTATATAGAGATATTCATTGGGGGTTTACATTAAGGCATAATAGAGACTATTCATTAGGGGGGTTTACATTAAGGTTATAAAGAGACTATTCCATTAGGGGGGTTAATTAAGGCTATAATAGAGACTATTCCATTAGTGGGGTGGGTTTATTTAAGGCTATAATAGAACTATTCCATAGGGGGGTTTACATTAAGCTATATAGAGACTATTCCATTAGGGGGGGTTTCATTTAAGGCTATAATAGAGACTATTCCATTAGGGGGGTTTAACGTAAGGGTAAATAGAGACTATTCCATTAGGGGGGTTTACGTTAAGGCTATAATAGAGACTATTCCATTAGGGGGGTTTACGTTAAGGTTATAATAGAGACTATTCCATTAAGGGGGTTTATGTTAAGGTTATAATAGAGACTATTCCATTAGGGGGGTTTATGTTAAGGCTATAATCGATACTATTCCATTAGGGGGTTTACATTAAGGTTATAATAGAGACTATTCCATTAGGGGGGGGGTTTTACGTTAAGGCTATAATAGAGACTATTCCATTATGGGGGGGGGTTTACGTTAAGGCTATTAATAGAGGACTATTTCATTCGGGGGGTTTATATTAAGGTTATATAATAGAGACTATTCATTAGGGGGGGGTTTACGTTAATGGCTATAATAGAGACTATTCCATTAGGGGGGGTTGGTTTACATTAAGGTTATATAGAGACTATTCCATTAGGGGGGGGTTTATGTTAAGGCTATTAATAGAGGACTATTCCATTAGGGGGGTTTACAGTTAAGGTTATAACTACGAGACTAGTTCCCTTACGGGGTGGGGTTACGTTAAGGCTATCAATAGAGGACTATCCATTAGGGGGGTTTATGTTAAGGTTATACCTAGAGGACTATTCCCATTAAGGGTGGTTTATGTTAAGGTTATAATAGAGTAAACATTATTATTTTCCCATCACTCACTCTCTTGATGATCCTATGGTGCTTTACGTAATGGGAGAGTATGCCTGCGTCCCAAATGAGACAATATAGTGCAATACATTTGAACAGAGTCCTATGGGCCCTGACCTAAATAGGGATAGGGTGGCATTTGGGTCGCAACCTATGAGCATATTGCTGTGGTTATTAAGGGTAAGTGAGTTAGAGAGCAATTATGTTTAATATTATTATATATTTTTTTATTTATTAACTTTTATTTATTAAGGGGAACCCAATTGAGACCAGTGTCTCATTTACAATGGCCCTGAGGACAAAATCTATGTCCATCAATACAACAACAAAGATACAAACTACAAGACAACTATAAATACATTCCATCAGGTTATTACAACAAGTTATAATAATCAATTGAAACAATTGCACACTTCAGTGAACACATTTAACAACAGAGTTTTAATCTGCCCTATCGGCACCAGGGAGTCCAGGTATAATTTATTTTGTAAGGTATTCTTTAACTGTGGTGTGTTAAAACTGAAGTCGGTTTTACCAAACTTTGTGGAAACAAGCGGGACCTCAAGAGTTAACCAACCCTGCGAACGGGTTTGGTATCTCATATTTTGATATTTCAACAGGGAAGTGAGATATGTTGGAAACTTGTGGAGCAGAGCTTTGTAAACAAAACAAGCGATCTACAGGATTTTAGTGAGGTCCAACCAACCTTCTGATACAGGATGCAGTGACGAGCATTCAAATCCTAAAAAGTACAGGCTTACATCATCCTCTGTCATTAGTATAGTTAATGTGGCCTTGGTCTAAAACCAAAACCCAACCCTCTCAGTTCATTAAAGGAGGGTTAATGGGCTCCTGTGATATCAGCTAGCCATAAAATGTTATATTATTTTGTAAACACTTGTCACGTTTAAATCCCCTCGTCTATAAATATCCCACACGGTAAACCACAGTATTCCACAGTTATAGAATATAGAAGCTGAACCCCAGTTATAGAATATAGAGGCTGAATCCCAGTTATAGAATATAGAGGCTGAACCCCAGTTATAGAATATAGAGGCTGAACCCCAGTTATAGAATATAGAGGCTGAACCCCAGTTATAGAGGCTGAACCCCAGTTATAGAATACAGAGGCTGAACCCCAGTTATAGAATATAGAGGCTGAACCCCAGTTATAGAATATAGAGGCTGAACCCCAGTTATAGAATATAGAGGCTGAACCCCAGTTATAGAGGCTGAACCCCAGTTATAGAATATAGAGGCTGAATCCCAGTTATAGAATATAGAGTTTGAACCCCAGTTATTTAATATAAAGGCTGAACCCCAGTTATTGAATATAGAGGCTGAGTGTTTTGAGGGTGTAGTCTGCCAGCTTACCTGGTAGGTGAGTGTGTGTGTGTGTGTGTGTGCGTGTGTGTGTACCTGGTATGCGTTAGAGGTGTTTCTCAGGTCAATGCTAGCGATGAGCCAGCTGTCTGAAGGCTTGTCTGCGCTCCACAGTGTGTAGTCAAAGTTGTCTCCTTCCGGTCTGAGGTGCAGCTGCAGAGAGCCAGCACCAGTGATCTGGTAGACCAGCCTCAGACAGCTCCAGTCCAGCAGCTCTAATACTGGGCTCACTAGAACAGCCTTCTCCCTCCCATCAAGGAAGGACGAGTCTGCCGTGATGAAACGCCCTGTGGAGAATTGAGAGAGGAATACCCAAATAGTGTAGCTTGATATTGAAATCGTAAATCAATACTTAATATTATTATGTTGATTTCTTCTTTATTTAAAAAAAATATTTTGGTTTGATACAGAGTGTGTGTGTGTGTGTGTTTGTGTGGGTGAGTGTGTCTCTCTCTCTCTGTGTGTGTGTGTGTGTGTGTGTCTGTGTGTGTGTGTCTGTCTATGTGTGTCTCTGTTTGTCTGTTTGTGTCTGTCTGTCTGTCTGTCTGTCTGTCTGTCTGTCTGTCTGTCTGTCTGTCTGTCTGTCTGTCTGTCTGTCTGTCTGTCTGTCTGTCTGTCTGTCTGTCTGTCTGTCTGTCTGTCTGTCTGTCTGTCTGTCTGTCTGTCTGTCTGTCTGTCTGTCTGTCTGTCTGTCTGTCTGTCTGTCTGTCTGTCTGTCTGTCTGTGTGTGTGTGTGTGTGTGTGTGTGTGTGTGTGTGTGTGTGTGTGTGTGTGTGTGTGTGTGTGTGTGTGTGTGTGTGTGTGTGTGTGTGTGTGTGTGTGTGTGTGTGTGTGGTCATGTTGTGTAGTTATACAGTGTATCACCTAGTCTAAACAAAAAGGCTAAAATACCGTACAAGCACACCAAAACCTGACATCAGCATATGAAAGAAGCTGACTTCAATCAGAGAGTTAATCAGCTGAAATCAGCTATTAACCACAGAATTAGTTCATAGAGCATCAAGGACATTGAGTCATTAAGACGAACATAAAACTGTTGGTCGCCAACCAAGGAGGAAGATGGAAAAAACTCTCTGTCAAAGGGAAAAGGAGGTCAGACCAAACCAAACCAATAGAGTCTGGAAACAAAAAAAAACGAATGACCCTGGTCACCTTTTCCCCTGCACTGCACCGTGGGTGGTAAACTCACTGCACAGTGGGTGGTGGACTCACTGCACCGTGGGTGGTGGACTCACTGCACCGTGGGTGGTGGACTCACTGCACCGTGGGTGGTGGACTCACTGCACCGTGGGTGGTGGACTCACTGCACCGTGGGTGGGGGAGTCCGTAGGGAGGGAGAGAGAGGAAAGTAGTGGGGGACAGAGAGAGAGAGAGAGAGAGAAGGAATAGGATTAAAATCCTATGGTTTTTAGGGTGAAAAATCCTCCTCTTCTTTAAACTGTTTAAAGACCGTTAATAGATAACAAGATCAATCTTTGCTGGAGAGTCAACTCCTTGGCTAAACCCAAATGTTGATGAGCAATGGCAGGCTATGCTATGCATCATAAACCATGAGTATGGACTGGATTCTTCTGGTCTCTGTAGAGGAAGCAGATTATTATTATTATTTATTTAGGAAGCAGATCAGCTGAGCCACATGTTCAATAAGCACCAACTGTAGATGATCCATATGGAGATGGCTACTGTAGTGCTGTAATGTGTTATAAGCAGCAAGTTGGCATGGAGACGGTTTTTGTCTATAGTATATTATTATAATGGCGTCCGTTACTCTGTCCACTTTTACGACCTGGAACAAACTATATGCTCTGACAGACAGACAGTGGACATGATTCCTTCCAGATGCCATGTGGACCATTTCTCTTTCAAGCCCCCTCTCTCTTCTGTTCTCTCCCAGTACTCCCCATTTTTCAAAGCCCATCTCTCTTGTCCTCCCCCCTGTTTTTCTCCCTGTTTCAAACTCTATCTCTTTTCCTCTCTTCTGTACTCTAACCAAAACAATGCTCTTCCCCTGTCCCGATATCTCCTAATATAACACCAACAATCCTGAGTTAGACCCTTCCCCTGTCCCACAGACAGTCTCCTAACACCAACACTCCTGATGAAACCCTATTCCCTACATAGTGCACTACTTTTGACCAGGGAATGGGTTGCCATTTGGGTCTTCTCCTGCACCACATTCCCCTGACATCAACACTCCTGACTGAGATATACTGGTCTCCTCAGAAAAGGCCTCAGAGTGATCCTCTAACTGTAAACATCTCCACATGTTGGGGCCAAGGAGTAAATGAAGAGATATTGATACTGCAGTGTTCAAGCTGGACAACAGGAGATGGACTCTCTTGGAATAATAAACATCTTTGGTTCAGCGCTAAACTTTTCATTTTACCGTAACTGTTGTTTGTCATATTCTAGCATCTATTAAAAACAGTTTGAAATACGGAAATAATCACTGGATTGAATGTCTAAATCCTAAAGCTAAACACGTCTGTTTGGTTGGCTTGGGGCCTAATCCTAGTCTGTCTGACCAGAGCTGGCTGTGATGGACATGATGCGTATAATCCATTTAACCTGCTTATCTACAGACTACAAATGCCACAAAATTATGGTACCAATATTAGCATTTTTAGCACATCATGTTCAAATCATCCAAAAGTATCTAAAATGTATTGTGAAGCTCAACAAAGTCACTTAAATATGATTTGAACATGATGCACGAAAAATACTAATATCGGAACCATGATTTTGTGGCATTTGTGGCACAAATCCCATTGAAGTCATGGTAACAATATTAGCATTTTCGCACATCATGTTCGACTCATCTAAGTGACTTTGCTGGCATTCACAATACATTTGAGATACTTTCGGATGATTTGGACAAGATGCGCGAGAAATGCTAATATCGCTACCAGGACGGATGGGATTTGTGCCACAAATGCTAAAACGTTAGTATTTGGAAACAGTGCTAGGGAAACTAAACCAAAGCATGGATTGCTGTCAAACCTTGTCAATAGACTGCTTACAGGGTAAGGAAACCAATATGTCATGTTGTAATTTGGGTGGACTATCCCTTTAACACTCATTTTCTGCAGATAAACTGCATCTGGCCCTGAGCTCCTTAATACTAGGGTGAGAAAGGTAATTTGTTATGTGCTACAAGTGATACAAGAGAAAGGGGGATACCTAGTCTGTTGGTGGCAGGTAGCTTAGTGGTTAAGAGCGTTGTGCCAGTAACTGAAAGGTTGCTGGTTCTAATCCCTGAGCCGACTAGGTGAAAAACCTGTCGATGTGCCCTTGAGCAAGGCACTTAACCCTAATTGCTCTGGATAAGAGTGTCTGCTAAATGACTAAAAATGTAAAATATACAACTGAATGCATTCAACTGAAATGTGTCTTCTGCATTTAACCAACCCCTCTGAATCAGAGAGGTGCGGGGGGCTGCCTTAATTGACATCATTGGCGCCTGGGGAACAGCGGGTTAACTGCCTTGCTCAGGTGCAGAACGACAGATTTGACCTTGTCAGCTCGGGGATTCGATCCAGCAAACTTTCGGTTACCGGCCCAACGCTCCTACCCAGATACAGTGCTGTGAAAAAGTATTTGCCCCCTTTCTAATTTTCTCTACTTTTGCATATTTGTGATACTGAATGTTATCAGATCTTCAACCAAAACCGAATATTAGATAAAGGGAACATAAGTGAACAAATAACACAACAATTACATATTTATTTCATTTATTTCATAAACAAAGTTATTCAACACCCAATTCCCCTGTGTGAAAAAGTAATTGCCCCCTTACACTCAATAACTGGTTGTGCCACCTTTAGCTGCAATGACTCCAACCAAATGCTTCCTGTAGTTGTTGATCAGTCTCTCACGTCGCTGTGGAGGAATTTTGGCCCACTCTTCCATGCAGAACTGCTTTAACTCAGTGACGTGTGGGTTTTCAAGCATGAACTGCTCGTTTCAAGTCCTGGCACAACATCTCAATTGGGATTAGGTCTGGACTTTGACTAGGCCATTCCAAAACTTCCAATTTGTTGCTTTTTAGCAATTTTCATGTAGACTTGATTGTGTGTTTTGGATCATTGTCTTGCTGCATGACCCAGCTGCGCTTCAGCTTCAGCTCACAGACGGATGGTCTGACATTCTCCTGTAGAATTCTCTGATACGGAGCAGAATTCATGGTTCCTTCTATTAAGGCAAGTCGTCCAGGTCCTGAGGCAGCAAACCATTCCCAAACCATCACACCACCACCACCATGCTTGACCTTTGATATGATGTTCTTACTGTGGAATGCAGTGTTTGGTTTTCGGCAGACATAATGGGACCCATCTCGTCCAAAAAGTTGACTCAAGTTTGCCAAAAAGCACCTGGATGATCATCAAGACGTTCTATGGAAAGATGATTCAAAAGTATCACTTTTTGGATGACATGGTTCCAGTAATGCCTGGCGAAAACCAAACTCTGCATTCCACAGTAAGAACATCATACCAAAGGTCAAGCATGGTGGTGGTGGTGTGATGGTACAAGTACTCAGAAAAGCTACTCAATGGTGGTTGGAGGCTCCGTATGGAGGATGTGATGCAATTGCAGAGCCTCCGGAGGCATGCATAAGCCAAATTGAGCTCCGTACCACATCGCCGAGCACCTCCCAAATTTTGTAACCATGCGGAGGGATAACGTTCATCTAGAAGCCAGAGACTCAGTAAATCTAACTGCATATAACTGTGATTATAACTGTGATTATAACTGTGTGTGTCTACACAATAGGTACAGCTTAGCCCAAAGGCCGGCAGATGGTGAGGGCGGCAGGTAGCTTAGTGGTTAAGAGCGTTGTGCCAGTAACCGAAACGTCGCTGGTTCTAATCCCCGTGCCGATTAGGTGAAAAATATGTCGATGTGCCCTTGAGCAAGGCACTTAACTCTAATTGCTCCTGTAAGTTGCTCTGGATAAGAGCGTCCGCTAAATGACAAAAAAATGTAAAAAGAATGTGATATTGAGTCGTTTCATCTTACCGTCCAAACACATTGTATGCTGAAGGCAATACACTCGTATCCCCCGTGGACCGGTTCCTACCTAAAACCTTCTCCATTCAGGCTGCAAACGCATTCATTTCCTCTTTATCTAGATTTAGTGGTGAGAAGGCTGAAAGAAAACGGTGAAAATATGCGTACATTCTTTATAAAACACAATGTTCCACCACCATGCTGGAGTGACTATGTTCTAACAGCTCCTATGAGTCATTCTCTCGCTCTAAAAACCTAAACTAATACACCTGAAGGATCGACCGGAACGGACACCAACCCACCTACAGACCCATGGCCGGGTTTCCCGATGGAATTTAGGCTTACGAATGTTTGAAGAGTGTTTTAACGATGCATCGTTCCTACAACGGCCGAAGATGTAACATGCGTTTCCCAAAACGCAGAGAGAACGCTCGCTAAGTGCGTCGTTGGAGCATGTGTCAATACATCTAACAACAAACTTAGCTGTCTGTAAATAACAAGCGTTTTCAAGCGCAGCGCAGAAATGTAACGATGCTCCTACGATGGGTTCTAACGATGAACTTTGCCTTAAAGGAAAAGTTTACCCAAAATCCAGAAACTCCCATGTGATTCCACAGCAACGCTGGATTAGACAGGGGCCAGGCCCGCCCCCCCCCCCCCCCCCCTGAAAACGAAGACGAATAAAGAAAAGACTGTGGTATTCCAAGATGGATGTCATCTGAGTTAATGGATATGGTTGTGATGTGAAGCCAAGAGGATGATATGACATCATGGCAGTCTTATGAAGAAAGAATACATCAAATGAAAGATTAAAGAAAGGATGATTTTCCTTAATTTTTGTCCTCCTTTCACAGACTGACCACCCAGAGGGACACAGATTATTCTCTGTCTCGATAGAGTGGTCCCTAACAGTCATGGTCCGGTTTCCCAAAAGCATCTTAAACGAGAAGTTTACCCAAAGTTCTGAAACTCCCAAGTGATTCGATACATTTAAACTATACTGAACAAAATATAAATGCAACAAGATTTTACTGAGTTACAGTTCATTAAAGGAAATCAGTCAATTGAAATAAATTCATTAGGCCCAAATCTGTGGATTTCACGACTGGGAATACAGATATGCATCTGTTGGTCACAGATACCTTAAAAAAGGTAGGGAAAACCAGTCAGTATCTGAAATGGATCAGAACACCAGTCAGTATCTGGAGTGACTCGGTTTCTTTTTCTTTTTTGGTAAGCCGGGCCTGGCCCCTGTCTGATCCAGCGTTGCTGTGGAAACCAAACAGAAAACACAGCCGTCGCGGCCAAGTCTTTTGGTTTTATGGCTGTATTTACCGACCCAGTGGGAGGAACGAAACCGCCGGCCCGCCCATCGCGATTCACAAGCCACTGAGTCCGACATCACCAAGGTTGTGTCGGTTCGCCGTCAGGGGATTGTAGTTTCATGTTTGACAGTTATTCCATTCTCTCGGCTACATGCTCTGCTCTGTTTTCTGTCAGCCAGGGACTGCTCTTGTAATGCCTCAGCCGTTCAGTGTGAAGTGAAGGCTTTTGTTCTTCAACCACTTGAAAGCCTAAACCCTGCTGGATGTCTCCTGGCAGGGTTAACAGATTATGGGCCCACCCAGCACTTCCCAGAGTGAAGCTGGTCGCAGACACACTACCACTGCATCCCAAATGGCACATGCAGCCGATAGTGTCAGTCAGGCCATCTGGTTTTGGAAGCAGGATGGCAAGAGGGTAGGCAAAACCAAACATTAAGAGGGGGTAGGAAAAGGAAGATTTTATAAAAAACCAGGAGAATTTGGTTGGGGGTGTTTGTTGGTGAGGAGGGGAGGGGTTTTGTAATGTAATTTTTTTGAGGTATAAACAGGAAAACCTGTGGGGGGGGGCGTCTAAGAAGGGGGTTTTGGGAAGGAGGGGGGCAACAGAAAAAAGGGAAAAAGGTTTTTTTTCTTTTTGGGGAAAGAGAGGGGGGGAGGGAGGGGAAAGGGAAGGGGGAGGAAGGGAAAAAGAGAGAGGGGAAAGGGGGGGAAAGGGGGAAAAGGAGAAGAGGGGGGAAAGGGGAGGGGGGGAAGAGAGAGAGAGAAAAGAGGGAAGGGAGAGAGAGGAGAGGAGAGAGAAGAGAAGAGAGAGAGAGAGAAAGAAAGAGGGAGAAGAGAGAGAGAGAGAGAAGGGAAAGGGGAAGGGAAAGGGAGGGGAAGGGCGGGGAAAAAAAGGGGAAGGAAAAAGAAAAGGGGAAAAGGGGGGAAAAAAGGAAAAGGGGAGAAAAAAGGAGAGAGAGAGGGGAAAAAAAAAGAGGGGAAAAGGGGCAAAAAAAAGAAAAAAAAAGAGAAAAAGGGGAAAGGGGGGAAAAAAAGGGCCCGCCCCCAAAAACCCCGGTACAAAACCCCCGCGCCCCGAGGGGGAAAGAAAGGGAGATTAAAAAGCAGCCCCAGGAAGAAAGAGAGGGGAAAAAAAAAACCCCCCCCAAAAAACCAAAAAAAACACCCCAAAATAAAAAGACAAAAGGGAAAAAAAAAAAAAAAAAAAAAAAAAAAAAAAAAAAAAACCCCAAAAAAATTCAACCACGGGCCAATTCCAAAAAAAAAAAAAAAAAATTTGTTCTAAAAAAAAAAAAAAAAATTTCCCCCCCCCCCCCCCCCCCCCCCCCCCCCTCTCTCTTTCCCCAGACTTTTTTTTTCCCCTGTTTTTTAAAAATTTTTTGGGAAACTTATTAAAAGTAATTAGCCTTGGGTTTCCAGGGGGCCAAAAAAAAACCTTCCATTGTAGCGGGCCATTTAAAAACTCTGGTTTGAAAAAAAGCGTTTTAAATTTTGGAAAAGTAAACCCCCGGGGCCCCAAAAAGGTGCAAATTGTGGTCTTTTCCCCCCAAAATCAGTGCCCTCAAATAATGGACTGGTCCACTTTATGAAGTCTAAAGGGGTTACCCCCCCCCTATAGGACCAACGGGAAAATGGGAAAAGGGAAGGGAAAAGGGGGGGGGAACACCCCAAACCCAAAAGGACAAAGGGGGGAAAGAGGCCCAGAGGGGCGGGCCCAAAAAAAAAGAAGAAGAGAGGGAGGACGGGGAGACAAAGAAGAGGGGAAAAAAGATGGGGAGAGGGGAAGAGAGAGAGGGGGAGAAAAGGGAGGAGAGAAGGGAGAGAAAGGGGAAAAAGAGGGGGAGAAAGAGAGAGAAGAAAAAGAAAAAAAAAAGGGGAAGGGGAGAAAAAAGAAAAAAAAAGAGAGAGAGAAGAAAAAAAAAGAAAAAAGAGAGAGGGGGAGAGAGGAGGAGAGAGAGAAAGGAGAGAGAAAAAGGAAAAAGGAGAAAAAAGGAAAAGGAAAAGAAGAGAAAAAGAAAAGAGAGAGAGAAAAAAGGAAAGAGAGAAAAAGGGAGAGAGAAAAGGGGAAAAGGGGAAAGAATAGCCGAAGAGCGAGGAACCTCATCGCTCTCCGATCTATCACAACACAAAAACAACAAACCAAATCTATCTTCTCTGCTCTCTCTCTCTCATATCTATTAACCCTCCTCTCTCTCCCCACTCCCCCTCTCTCTCACTACCCCTTGTGTATTTTTTGTTCTCCCCCATCCCTCTTAAAGAGGCCCTCCTAATGTAACCAGTCATGCATAAAGAGTAGTATGGACAGACAGACAGACACATTGTATATACATGCTGCTCTGACCTTAGACATATTTACCATCTATTCTGTATATAGTCCTGAGAATGTAAATGTAGCCCTGCAAAATCTCAAAACATGTTAATATCAATGAAGACAACCTGCAACTGAAGGGCAGAATGCCTTTTCTCCCAGCCCAGCCCTTCCAATTCTATATTTTATTTGTGCATTTTGTGTACAGCATTGACTACATAGTAAGTGAGTTAGTTGTCCAACCTTCCTCATTCCTGGTCCATCTGGCATAGGCAAGGTCGGAGGTGTAATCGCAGGTACCCGTATCGAAGCTGCAGGACCCGGGTAACAGCAGCTGCTGCTGCGCCCCAACAAGCACAGGGACTGGAGGACAAGGAGAAGCAGAACAAGATTTACAGCTATACAGCTTCTGGTACAGGTAGGCAATTGGCTTACTGCAAAAGGTGTGGGCTTCTGTTTTATATCATGCACACAGCGTGGAATCAGAACTTGGAGAGGAAATAAAATAGGCTATGTGGCACGGATAGGGCCAACATTTGAGTGTCAGAAAAATACCGGTGCAACTTCTTTGATTAAACTTTGAAATAATATCAACAAAAAAAAAAGGCTGCAACTTACCCAGAAAAGCGAGATGGTAAATGCTGTTCATATTAAGACTGCAGCGAGGCAGAGAGATGAGAGTACTCGCGCGCAACTCGTTAACTCCTCACTCGCAGATTCCAGAGGGAATACCACCACCATACAGCGGGATCTATCTTCTTAACTGCAAATGCCCGGAACAGTGAAGCTCGTCTACAGTTCAAGTTCAGCCACCAACTCTCACAGCAACAGGGCACGAGCAGTGGCTCAGCTGTTACCGGTCACGTTACCGGTCCGTTTACATGGCTTAATCCGACTTGGAAAGACACTTGGCACGCGGGCGGGAGAGGTGGACAGCAGAGAGGAGGAGAGGAGAGTGAGGATGCGCCTGACAGTAATGCAGTCCAGATTCTAACGGCTAGTGGACGCATCTCCACATGGAATCTGTGTAGGCTACTCCGCCTCCTGCATCACACCCGCCTCCTGCATCTCTTCTCCTCCTGGATGAAATCACAGGCATTCCACCACATTTTACATTTTTAGTCATTTAGCAGACGCTCTTATCCAGAGCGACTTACAGTTAAGTGAGTGCATACATTTTTCATACAGCTCCGGCCCAAATAACCCCCTCCTTTCAGAAATAGCCATACTTTATGTCACACTTCATTAAGTTGCATAGATACCACGTAGTTACATGTAACCTCATTTTATTTATTAGTATAATTCCATGTAATTGCTTAGGATATGTTCAGCCTCTGAGAGTAACATTGACATATACATTGACACGGTGACTGAGTTCATCAGGAAGAGTAGAGGGGATGTTGTTCCCACTGTTACTATTAAAACCTACCCAAACCAGAAACCTTGGATAGATGGCAGCATTCGCGCAAAACGTATAGCGCACACCAACCGCATTTAACCATGGCAAGGTGACTGGGAATATGGTCGAATACAAACAGTGTAGTTATTCCCTCCGTAAGGCAATCAAACAGGCAAAATGTCAGTACAGAGACAAAGTGGAGTTGCAATTCAACGGCTCAGACACCAGACGTATGTGGCAGGGTCTACAGACAATCACGGATTACAAAGGGAAAACCAGCCATGTCACGGACACCGACGTCTCCCAGACAAGCTTAACACCTTCTTCACCCGCTTTGAGGATAACACAGTGCCACCGACGCGGCCCGCTCGCAAGGATTGTGGGCTATCATTCTCCATGGCTGAGGTGAGTAAGACATTTAAACTTCTTAACCCTCGCAAGGCTGCTGGCACAGACGGCATCCCTAGCCGCATCCTCAGAGCATGCGCAGACCTGCTGGTTGGAGTGTTTACTGATATATTCAATCTCTCCTATCCCAGTCTGCTGTCCCCACTTGCTTCAAGATGTCCACCATTGTTCCTGTACCCAAGAAAACAAACGAAGCTGAACTAAATGACTATCGCCCCCTAGCACTCATTTCTGTCATAATGAAGTGCTTTGAGAGGCTAGATAAGGATCATATCACCTCTACCTTACCTGACACCCTAGACCCACTTCAATTTGCTTACCACCCCAATAGATACACAGACGATGCAATCGCCATTGCACTGCACACTGCCCTATTCTATCTGGACAAGAGGAATACCTATGTAAGAATGCTGTTCATTGACTATAGCTCAGTTTTCAACACCATAGTACCCTCCAAGCTCATCATTAAGCTCGGGACCTGGGTCTGAACCTCGCCCTGTGCAACTGGGTCCTGGACTTCCTGACGGGCCGCCCCCCCAGGTGGTGAAGGTAGGAAACAACACTTCCACTTCGCTGATCCTCAACACAGGGGCCCCACAAGGGTGCGTGCTCAGCCCCTTCCTGTACTCCCTGTTCACCCATGACTGCGTGGCCACACAGGCCTCCAACTCAATCATCAAGTTTGCAGACGACACAACAGTAATAGGCCTGATTACTAACAACCGCAGGGCTCTCCAGAGGGTGATGCGGTCAGCCCAACGCATCACCGGGGGTACACTGCCTGCCCTCCAGGACACCTACAGCACCCGATGTCACAGGAAGGCCAAAAAGATCATCAAGGACATCAACCACCCGAGCCGCGGCCTGTTCACCCCGCTATCATCCAGAAGGCGAGGTCAGTACAGGTGCATCAAAGCTGGGACAGATAGACTGAAAAACAGCTTTTATCTCAAGGCCATCAGACTGTTAAATAGCCATCACTAGCCGGCTACCACCCGGTTACGCAACCCTGCACCTTAGAGGCTTCTGCCCTATATACATAGATATGGAATCACTGGTCACTTTAATAATGGAACACTAGTCACTTTAATGTTTACATACTGCTTTACTCATCTCAAATGTATATACTGTATTCTATTCTACTGTGTTTTAGTCAATGCCACGCCGACATTGCTCGTCCTAATATTTATATATTTCTTAATTCTATTCTTTTACTTTTAGATTTGTGTGCTGTTCTAAATTGTTAGATACTACTGCACTGTTGGAGCTAGGAACACAAGCATTTCGCTACACCCGCAATAACATCTGCTAGATATGTGTATGTGACCAATACCATTTGATTTGATTTGATTTGATAACTATGCTATTTGGAAACTATTTGGAAAACATTTGTCAGGTTCCCCTTTGCAATTTAAACATTTAAACATCCTTTATTATCCCATGTTGTTATTTAAGTCCTGTTCTAGTCTAGACTGTAATTGTATAGTATATTGTTCATTCAGTAACAGACAGCGATACTGTATGTCCTTCTTCAAGGAACATTTTGGTTTCTGGAAATGGAAAAAATTTGCTGGGCAGGTTGCTCACAGAGAGAGACATTGGTATTTACCCAGGAAAATGTTAAGCCATGGCCGTGGACCGATGTTTAATTTTTCTCTCACTTAAACTCACTTCTGCCATGTTCCTGTCCTGTCTTTGAGCTTCTGAAAGATCTGTGGGCCTTTTTCAGTAACACTTCAATGTCTGTCAGTTTGTTTTTGTAAGAAACAAGTGATGAATCAGTGTCCTTGGTGTCTGTCTCTGCCCGCCTGTTTTGCTGTCTGCCGTGCTGTCCGTCTGTCTGTTTGTCCTGTCTATCTGTCTGTCTCTGCCTACCCTGTCTTTCTTCTGTCGGTTTGTTGTCTATCGTTGTCTCTGCCTGCTGTCTGCCTGTTGTCTGCCTGTCGTCTGTACTGTCTTCGTTGTCTGTCTTCTGTCTGTCTGTCAGTTGTCTGTCGTCTGTTGTCTGTCTACTGTCTGTCTTCCGTGCCCTGTCTGCCTGTCTGTTGATGTCTGTCTGCGTCTGTCTGTCTGTCGTCTGCTGTAGTAGTCTGTTGGTCTGTCTGTCTGTCCGTTGTCGGTCTGTCTGTCTATTTGTTGTCTATTGCCCGTCTGTCTGGTTATGTATGCTCTGCCGCCGTGTCCGTCTGTCCCAGTCTGGTTGTATGTCTATCTGTCTGTGTCTCTGCCCACTGTTAGTCTTATGTCTGCCTGTCTGTGTCTGTTTGTCTGTCTCGTCTGTCTTGCCTGCCGTCTGCCTAGTCTGTAGGGTATGTCTGTCGCTGTCTGTTGTCTGTCGTCTGCGCTGTTGTCTTGTCTATTTGTCTGTCTATCTGCCCGTCTGTCTGGTCTATCTGTCTGTCTGTCTGCCCGCCTGTCTGTCTGTCTGTCCGTCTCTTTGTCTCTGTGTACATATCCATGTGTCACTCTGTACATCTGACTGTTGTTGTACAGTATGTGTTGTTGTAGTTGTCTGCCTGCCTGTAGTACCCAGTGGCCAGTACTGTCCCAGTTAGAGAGAGGTAATGTCTGCCTGCCTGTAGTACCCAGTGTCCAGTACTGTCCCAGTTAGAGAGAGGTAATGTCTGCCTGCCTGTAGTACCCAGTGTCCAGTACTGTCCCAGTTAGAGAGAGGTAATGTCTGCCTGCCTGTAGTACCCAGTGCCCAGTACTGTCCCAGTTAGAGAGAGGTAATGTCTGCCTGCCTGTAGTACCCAGTGGCCAGTACTGTCCCAGTTAGAGAGAGGTAATGTCTGCCTGCCTGTAGTACCCAGTGGCCAGTACTGTCCCAGTTAGAGAGAGGTAATGTCTCTGCCTGTCCTGTAGTTACCCAGTGGCCAGTACTGTCCCAGTTAGCAGAGAGGTAATGTCTTGCCTGCCTGGTTAGTACCCAGTGGCCAGTACTGTCCCAGTTAGAGAGAGGTAATGTCTGCCTGCCTGTAGTACCCAGTGGCCAGTACTGTCCCAGTTAGAGAGAGGTAATGTCTGCCTGCCTGTAGTACCCAGTGGCCAGTACTGTCCCAGTTAGAGAGAGGTAATGTCTGCCTGCCTGTAGTACCCAGTGGCCAGTACTGTCCCAGTTAGAGAGGAGAGGTAATGTCTGCCTGCCTGTAGTACCCAGTGTCCTAGTAACTGTCCCAGTTAGAGAGAGGTAATGTCTGCCTGCCTGTAGTACCCAGTGTCCAGTTACTGTCCCAGTTAGAGAGAGGGGTAATGTCTGCCTGCTGTAGTACCCAGTGGCCAGTACTGTCCAGTTAGAGAGAGGTAATGTCTGCCTGCCTGTATACCCAGTGGCCAGTAACTGTCCCAGTTAGAGAGAGTAATGTCTGCCTGCCTGTAGTACCCAGTGGCCAGTACTGTCCCAGTTAGAGAGAGGTAATGTTGCCTGCCGTAGTACCCAGTGGCCAGTACTGTCCCAGTTAGAGAGAGGTAATGTCTGCCTGCTGTAGTACCAGTGCCAGTACTGTCCCAGTTACAGAGAGGTAATGTTGCCTGCCTGTAGTACCAGTGGCCAGTACTGTCCAGTTTAGAGAGAGGGTAATGTCTGCTGCCTGTAGTACCCATGCCCAGTACTGTCCCAGTTAGAGAGAGGTAATGTCTGCCTTCCTGTAGTACCCAGTGCCCAGTACTGTCCCAGTTAGAGAGAGGTAATGTCTGCCTTCCTGTAGTACCCAGTGCCCAGTACTGTCCCAGTTAGAGAGAGGTAATGTGTCTGTCTGGGATGAGGTAATGGAACAGTGTGAAGCAGCACTCTGGTTAGTTTTACTGATGTGAACTGAGCCAGGTTGTTATAACAGGGTCAGCAGGAGCCTGGGAGCTGGTTATACCGTACACCACCACAACACACACACACACAAACACACAACACAACACACACACAACACACACACACACACACACACACACACACACACACACACACACACCACACACACACACCCACACACACACACACACACACACACACACACACACCACACACACACACACACAGAGACACACACACACACACACACACACACACACACACACACACACACACACAGACAGACAGACAGACAGACACACACACAGACACACAGACACACACACACAAACACACACACACAGACACACACACACACACTCATGAAGTTCTGTACCACCAGTGCGTGCGGAGTAATGTAGGGTGATGTGCGTGTGTGTGTGTTTGCGTGTGTGCGTGTAGAGTAGGGTGTGTGTGCAGGATAATGTAGCGTGTGTGTGTGTGTAGGGTGAGGGTCCTATTTGGGAAGGGTCCGTCCTGCCCCTGGGTTAAAGTGATCTGGAATTAGTGTGTCATGCAGAGAGGAGAGGAGTGCAGTCACTGTTTGTACATGTAATCCACCTTGCTGCTACTCATGAGATAGGTCCTCTTCTTATCTTACAAGAATCCCCATGAAACAGAAATAAACACTATCTCACCACCATAGCATTCATGGTCCTTCTAGTGGAGAACAGGAAAACCACTTGTTCCTCCGTCCATCCATACCTCCTATTTTATGTATAAAGAAGTACTGTCTTGGTACTGATACCATATGCTCCTAGAGTTCTTCCTCTATAGTCAGTGCTGTTCTACGGTCTGATGCCATATAAGCCTGCCTCCTCTCTGTCTCCTCTCTGTTTCCTCTCTGTCTCCTCTCTATCTCCTCTCTGTCTCCTCTCTGTCTCCTCTCTGTCCCCTCTCTATCTCCTCTCTATTTCCTCTCTGTCCCCTCTCTGTCTCCTCTCTGTCTCCTCTCAATTTCCTCTCTGTCTCCTCTCTGTGTCCTCTCTGGCTCCTCTCTATATCTCTCTGTCTCCGCTCGTCCCTCCTGTCCCTCTCTGTCTCCTCTCTGACTCCTCTCTGTCCCCTCTCTGTCTCCTCTCTATTTCCTCTCTGTCCCCTCTCTGTCTCCTCTCTGTCTCCTCTCTGTCTCCGCTCTGTCCCCTCTCTGTCCCCTCTCTGTCCCCTCTCTGTCTCCTCTCTGTCTCCTCTCTATTTCCTCTCTGTCTCCTCTCTATTTCCTCTCTGTCTCCTCTCTGTCTCCTCTCTATTTCCTCTCTGTCTCCTCTCTGTCTCCTCTCTATTTCCTCTCTATCCCCTCTCTGTCCCCGCTCTGTCTCCTCTCTGTCCTCTCTCTGTCTCCTCTCTGTCCCCGCTCTGTCTCCTCTCTGTCCCCTCTCTGTCTCCTCTCTGACTCCTCTCTCAATGTCAGCTTGGTCTCCTCTCTGTCTCCTCTCATAATGTAAACATGATGTAGGGCCCCAGAGAGACCCAGTCTCTACGTAAAACTGAGGTGTTGTTGAGACGAAGCTGAAGGGCCCAAATCCCCCAAACCACAGTGAGTGGAAAAGTGTACCCCTGTTTCTATTAGAGCCAGGAGTTCTCTTTCTTTCTCTGTCTGTCTCTGAGGCTTTGGTGCTTTTATCATTAGTGGCTGACCTGACCTCTTCCCTCAGTGGATATAAAGTACAGACCCAGCAGAGCAGTGGAACTGGGTGCTAAAAGCCGCAGTGGAAACTTTAACAAAACTCTCTCTCATGTAATAGTTTTAGTTTCTTTGGCTTTCTTGAAGAAGTCGCTCCTACTGTTGATCTATTAGTATGTGTGTGTCTGTGTGTGTGTGTGTCTCTGTGTGTGTGTGTGTCTGTGTGTGTGTGTGTCTGTGTGTGAATGTGTGTGTGTGTGTCTGTGTGTGTGTCTGTGTGTGTGTGTGTCTGTGTGTCTGTGTGTCTGTGTGTGTGTGTGTGTGTGTGCGTGTATGTGTGTGTGTGTGTGTGTGTGTGTGTGTGTGTGCGTGTGTTTGTATGTGTATGTGTGTGTGTGTCTGTGTGTGTGTGTATGAGTAGAGGTTCTGCAGACCAGCTGTGTACTCCTCCTCCTCCTCCTCCTCCTCCACTCTAATCCTCAGCCTAACTTCTGACTAGAGATACGTTCCACACAGCTTGAGGCGAAAGAGAGGGATGGAGAGGGAAAGAGGGATGGAGAGGGAAAGATAGAGGGAGAGAGAGAGAGAGCGAGCGAGCGAGCGAGAGGGAGAGAGGGAGAGAGAGAGAGATAGAAAGGAAGAGACGAATGGAGATGGAGAGAGCGAGAGAGAGGGAGAGAGAGGGAAAGAGGGATGGAGAGGGAGAGATAGAAAGGAAGAGACAAATGGAGATGGAGAGAGCTAGAGAGAGCGAGAGAGGGGAGAGAGATTGTTTATTTCACTTTTGTTTATTATCTATTTCACTTGCTTTGGCAATGTAAACATATGTTTCCCATGCCAATAAAGCCCTTTGAATTGAATTGATATATATATATATATATATAATATATATATATATATAGAGAGAGAGAGAGAGAGAGAGAGAGAGAGAGGAGAGCGAGGAGAGAGAGAGAGAGTCATGAGAGAGGAGAGGGAGAGATGAGGGAGAGAGAGAGAGAGAGAGAGAGAGAGAGAGAGAGAAAGGGCAGTCACAATATCCATCAAGATAGTCATAAAAAAGCCATTGTCTTTAATTAAGAAATTGAGAGAAATAATCTGACAACCACAAATATCCAGTGAAATTCCCACCGGTGACAAGATCATGTATAGGCAGCTGGGAGTGAATGATTTAAGTCGTTTTATTGCTGCCAACATTATAGTGGCTGTGAATGTGTTCTGTCAGACCAGTAAAGGCAGTTCAACTCTGCCGTATGGTAAAGAGACAAAGTCAGTCCACGATTGCAGTGACCGACAAACAAACACTGAGATGTGTTGAGGGTAAAGGTCATCATTGCACTGCTATTTATTACTGAATGCTCAAATGTGTTGCAGATGCTCCCTGAGTCAGCTCTGTTTATTGTTCTCTAACTGGCAGGGCTTCACAGCAGCTTGAAGGAGAGCCCGTGGGCAGTTCTGCCCAGTGGTAGCTAGGCTAGGCATCAGGCAAGGACCATATCTGGTCTCCAGGACCCAACGGTTCAGTGGATGCTCAGGCACTACAGTGGTGGAAACCCTGTTATAAGAAGAAGAGATAGAGATAGAGAGAAAAGGAAGAGTTGGGATAGAGAGAAAGAAAAGAGGGTATGATAGAGAGAGAGAGAGAGAGGAAACCAATTATGTAAAAGTAGTTTCCAGATTAGAATAATCAGATGTCCTGTTGTTGGTCAAAGCCACCTGTAACACATACAACATCAGCAGGTGCTAGAGGGTCATGGTTAATGATGGCACACCTGTGGTCGTCACAGACAACTATGACTTTGTGGCTGTGGAATCTGACTTTGTGGCTGTGGAATCTGACTTTGTGGCTGTGGAATCTGACTTTGTGGCTGTGGAATCTGACTTTGTGGCTGTGGAATCTGACTTTGTGGCTGTGGAATCTGACTTTGTGGCTGTGAAATCTGACTGTGTGGCTGTGGAATCTGACTTTGTGGCTGGGGAATCTGACATTGTGGCTGGGGAATCTGACTTTGTGGCTGTGGAATCTGACTTTGTGGCTGGGGAATCTGACTTTGTGGCTGTGGAATCTGACTTTGTGGCTGTAAAATCTGACTTTGTGGCTGTTGGGGAATCTGACTTTGTGGGAATCTGACTTGTGGCTGGGAATCTGACTTTGTGGCTGTGGAATCTGACTTTGTGGCTGTAAATCTGACTTTGTGGCTGTTGAATCTGACTTTGTGGCTGGGGAATCTGACTTTGTGGTTGTGGAATCTGACTTTGTGGGTATAGAATCTAGTGACAACCGAGGCATGTTGATGATACCAGACCAACCACCTTGCATAATGGATTAGTAACACATAAACACTGTGCCTATTATTGGGTCTGTAAGACACAGTGTAATAATACACTGCTCAAAAAAATAAAGGGAACACTTAAACAACACATCCTAGATCTGAATGAATGAAATAATCTTATTAAATACTTTTTTCTTTACATAGTTGAATGTGCTGACAACAAAATCACACAAAATTATCAATGGAAATCAAATTTATCAACCCATGGAGGTCTGGATTTGGAGTCACCCTCAAAATTAAAGTGGAAAACCACACTACAGCTGATCCAACTTTGATGTAATGTCCTTAAAACAAGTCAAAATGAGGCTCAGTAGTGTGTGTGGCCTCCACGTGCCTGTATGACCTCCCTACAACGCCTGGGCATGCTCCTGATGAGGTGGCGGATGGTCTCCTGAGGGATCTCCTCCCAGACATCGACTAAAGCATCCGCCAACTCCTGGACAGTCTGTGGTGCAACGTGGCGTTGGTGGATGGAGCGAGACATGATGTCCCAGATGTGCTCAATTGGATTCAGGTCTGGGGAACGGGCGGGCCAGTCCATAGCATCAATGCCTTCCTCTTGCAGGAACTGCTGACACACTCCAGCCACATGAGGTCTAGCATTGTCTTGCATTAGGAGGAACCCAGGGCCAACCGTACCAGCATATGGTCTCACAAGGAGTCTGAGGATCTCATCTCGGTACCTAATGGCAGTCAGGCTACCTCTGGTGAGCACATGGAGGGCTGTGCGGCCCCCCAAAGAAATGCCACCCCACACCATAACTGACCCACCGCCAAACCGGTCATGCTGGAGGATGTTGCAGGCAGCAGAACGTTCTCCACGGCGTCTCCAGACTCTGTCACGTCTGTCACATGTGCTCAGTGTGAACCTGCTTTCATCTGTGAAGAGCACAGGGCGCCAGTGGCGAATTTGCCAATCTTGGTGTTCTCTGGCAAATGCCAAACGTCCTGCACGGTGTTGGGCTGTAAGCACAACCCCCACCTGTGGACGTCGGGCCCTCATACCACCCTCATGGAGTCTGTTTCTGACCGTTTGAGCAGACACATGCACATTTGTGGCCTGCTGGAGGTCATTTTGCAGGGCTCTGGCAGTGCTCCTCCTGCTCCTCCTTGCACAAAGGCTGAGGTAGCAGTCCTCCTGCTGGGTTGTTGCCCTCCTACGGCCTCCTCCACGTCTCCTGATGTACTGGCCTGTCTCCTGGTAGCGCCTCCATGCTCTGGACACTACGCTGACAGACACAGCAAACCTTCTTGCCACAGCTCGCATTGATGTGCCATCCTGGATGAGCACTACCTGAGCCACTTGTGTGGGTTGTAGACTCCATCTCATGCTACAAATAGAAAGCACAGCCAGCATTCAAAAGTGACCAAAACATCAGCCAGGAAGCATAGGAACTGAGAAGTGTCTGTGGTCACCACCTGCAAAACCAGTCCTTTATTGTTGGTGTCTTGCTAATTGCCTATATTTTCCACCTGTTGTCTATTCCATTTGCACAACAGCATGTGAAATGTATTGTCAATCAGTGTTGCTTCCTAAGTGGACAGTTTGATTTCACAGAAGTGTGATTGACTTGGAGTTACATTGTGTTGTTTAAGTGTTCCCTTTATTTTTTTGAGCAGTGTATAATGTTTTGTAGTGTGGTTCTCACAAATATGGCTAACCATACATTTTCACTGACGCTCAAAAGGCTTGTGAATA